GTCCGAATATGGCCAGCTGCTCTCGTGCAACTGTAAACCTGGATATACCGGAGACCGATGTGACAGGTAAATCGCCAGTGTGAATTACACTTGTATTCTACGGGGATTACTCTTCATCAGTTCATCAGCCAATTCCTGTAATTCTCAGAAAAGATGTCCCAGTCTTCACCTTGAATCTGTTTTAGAGTACTTCTATATAAGATTTTAGATGTGACGCTGGTTTCTTCGGCGAGCCTCAGCGTCCAGGCGGTTCATGTCAACCATGCGATTGCAATGACAATAACAATTTGACAGACTCGAGAGCTTGTCATCCAATCACTGGCGATTGCTATCTTTGTGAGAGGAACACCGATGGTCGTCATTGCGAATATTGTGCCCAGTGGTGAGTGATTTGCTTGGCTACTGTAGCTGACTTGCTTAGAGGTGCTACCTAGGCATATGTCCTGTGAACGTCTTCCCGGTCTTTACAATTTACACCTAAAGAGTAATCACAGATGTGACACCCCTATGCATGGGAATCATCCTGCAAGGGCGATAGGTCCTTGCAAAATTTGCTGCAGCAGCTGCAATGACTCCCGGCCGCAGCAGGCTACTGCCTGGCGCCCTCTTGTCTTGCTCCCCTCATAGTCTCCTCTCAGCCTAATCGCCCCTTTAAGCAGCCACCAACTTGAGCGTTTTCGACGAATTCTTTTCGTTTTTTCTTTACTGCCATCCCAATAACACCAGTACTCTTCATATTAGGTGCAAGAATCTGGTGCAGTTCGATCCTGATATGAAAGAATGAGTTCTCACAAACGAAACTCTAGGTAGTTGCCGGATAGGAGAGCGCGGTTGCCTCGATGGAGGGCAGAGAGCTCTTTAATGCTTCAAAATCATGAATGCTTTTTGTTGTCTGCGAGAATGTTGATTTTATCCCCTTTTATGATACTCAAAACAACAATTCAGTTTTTTGTTGAGCTAGTCGAGTTACTTACTGTCAATTAAGGTACCACGGCGATGCAGTGGCGGCAAAGAACTGTACTGCATGTACCTGCGACCAGTGTGGTTCATCGATGTGTGACAACCAAGTTGGCGATTGCCATTGTAAACCAAATGTGGAAGGACTAAATTGCGACAGATGCATTGTAAGTCAAGGCTTTCTTTACTTCACCTTGTTACGACTCACCCTCCACTATCATTTCTTCGGCCACAGTACAGCTAAAAAGGGTGGTCACCACTCTTGCAATGGATTTCCAGTTTTTATTTGCGGATTGAGCTGGTTTTAAGAGACTAAACAAAAAACAGTCTTGGAAACTATTAGTTGGAGCTGAGCACTGTGAAGCCTTGCAAGTACATTACATGTGTAACATTTTTAGTCTGATCATTGGGGTTTCTCGCGCTGTGGTGGATGTTATCCGTGCCACTGCGGTATCGCTTCTTCCTCCACCCAATGTGACGATGAGACCGGACAGTGCCAGTGTCGACCAGGAGCTGTTGGGCTGCGTTGCGAGCACTGCGAGCACGGATTCTGGAACTATGGCGAATACGGCTGTCAAAAGTAATCCACCCACCTCCCTATGTGTCTAAAACTATAACCAAAAATGTGATTTGTAGAGTGCGACTGCGAGGCAGACCTCTCCATGGGTACGGTGTGTGATGTGCGTACGGGACAGTGTCATTGTCAAGAAGGAGCCACCGGAGCTCGCTGCGACCAATGTCTACAGTCATATCTCAGAATTCCCACTTATGGATGCCGACGTAAGGCTTCTTTTCGAGGCATCTAGCGAAAGGCTCTGTAGGGGCATCTGATCTGTTTAAGGTTTGATGAATGCGTACATCATCTGGTCTCCGACGTGGATCATCTGGGAGTCGATATCCAACATCTGAATATGATGTCTGATTGGTTAAACATTCAATACGGCTACCGTGGTTTGGAAGCCCAGGCTAGCCCGAACTCCAAGAAAGAGTCACGCACTAACTACGGTAGTGGATGATTTTAGTCAGGTTAGTGTCTACAGAGTAATTCTAGAATAGGGATTTGCTGTACTCTAGGAATGCAAATTCAGCACTAACCTGGTTGCAGGTTAACTGCTAACTCAACTTAAGGATATTTTCTGTTTATGGTTTGTTTGCAGGATGAAGAGGATCGCATAAACTATCTTAGAAGGGTGTATTACTGAGTCGCAATGGCGGAGTCACGCAACAAGAAAGTCCTGCTTCATCCCCTTGATGCGCTGACTTGGCGCTTTAGCACTAGGGCAATTGCCCACGTGACTAACCCACACGAGCCAACTGGAGGTGTGTTTTTCAGAGTTCTTGTAAATAGGGTTCGCAATTTCAATAGTTATTGCTGGTAGACCAGTTCTCAGTCCACACTTCATTTCCGGTTGCGGAGCGGTTATAATGCAATCATTGAACGTTATTTGTGAAAGGGCATTGGGAGGCGGTCCCAACCACATTACCCAGCATGCTGAGGGGTCTAGTTCATAAATGACGTCATCAAAACCGTGCCGCCCTCCAGTCATCGTAGTCGCTGTCGTCGAGTTCTGGCATTGGCTCGGATAACGTGTTTCACATTTGGGAATAGCGCTGCACTGGACTTTTATCGTAAAAGAATTCCGTATTTTGAGGCTTCTGACAAAAAGATTAACTTCAATCTCACAGAGACGTTTTTAATTTTAGGATATCGCTAACCTGCTGTCTGGTGAACAGTACAACAACTTCATCGGAGATGCTCGTGCTGTCCTTGCCAACATGTCGCAGTTGGTCAACTCGCTGAAAAGGTTGCCTCAGTCGATCATCATACCGCATACCGATAATATTGAAAGTCCTAAATATTGATTTTGTGTCCAGGTCCAACACAGTCGCCGACAACGATGTCGAGCGCGCAATGAATTTGACGGATTCAGCCGGCGAGGTCATTCAGGATATTCGCCGTCGAGCTGCGGTACGCGCCATCATCGTATTCAATCTTCACGCGTTTACTTGTCTTTAATCTTCTTAAGCATCCATTTTTACTCGATTCAGGACGCTTCGGCCTCCGTGGACCACGCTAAAAACCTTGTTGCTTCTCTCGGAAGTCATTCTTCAGCGCTCATCATCGATCCAAGATGGGTGGAATACGCCGAGGAAACGTTGCATCAACTGGAAGCAGCAACAGCGTTAGTGAAGAGATTTCCACTGTGGATTCTAATTTTCAGACCAGCGATCTTATTTCTGGGAATTTAGCGATGGGAAAGCCAGAGGAAGCCACGAGGGTTCCGAAGAAGGTCGCAGAGGTACAAGAAGAACTGAACCGGCGCACTGAAAAATTGGACGAACTGACCAAAAAGCTTCATAAACGCTCAGGACCAGGTGCTCATTGTGGAAGAGAGTCTTCATAGATTTTATGAATGGCATGTAAAAATTGTTTCTCATTCAGAGTGAGAAAGTCGCTGATTACCTGAGCGATTCACAGAAAATGCTAAAGGAATCTCGAAAGAAATCCGAGGAGGCTCGTAAGGTACAGTACATACTCAGAATAATAATTTTTGAAAACTTTTCTCTCTTCAACTCGAATTTAGTGGGGCTATTTATCCCTGGAATGGAAGAGAGGTTGCGTTTGTCGTGAGGAACTTCTTCTCCAGTTAACTTCTTATCCGTGCGGGTGCTGCTAACCATTTTTCACTGCTCACCAAGGAGCGTTATTTGATTTTCCAGGGAAATGGTCGCATTTGGTCGGTGAAGTAGGTACCCAATCAATACCCCTGTTGCGACAGACTACTCATTACTCTTCTATTCGCCCTTCCTCATTCCCTCCCTCTCTCTCTCTCGTCTCCTATCGATCGTAGCATAAGCTGAGTGATAGAGAAACACCCATCCAGCACAGATTTCACAATTCACACAATAGACCCCGGAAACCCACGAGATACTTCTCTCTGTGACGAGTGGAACTCTTCCAATCATGTTGTTTCAATGGAGCGACTCGAAAATATTCAGAAATCAATTTCAATTACAGCCACTCGTTTGTTAAGACTGCCAGCGGCGTGTCGACGTTAAGACTAGGGGTTGCTTGGCAAAGGCCTACTGACGGCCGCGATAAGGCCATTGAAGAACACGGCGTCGTGAGTGGTGTGCTGCTGGAGGTTGGTGCTGCACTCAGTTCTATGCACATTTTGCCCTTAAATATCCGGTTATAGGTCAAAAATCTCACCGAACAAGCGAAGGATGCTCTGGAGTCAGTGGGAAACTCGCTGACGAATTTGGCTGAAGTCCGTGCGGAACTCGCCGAGATGGTTGAGCCCAAACGTGAGAAGCGACAAGCATCCTATGATAAGGGCGCTGTGGATGCCAGAGTTAGAGACCTGGAAATCGAAGCATCACGTCTGAAGAACAACTTTGGCTCAGCTCAATTGGAGTCTCAGGTTTGTCTACAAAATATCCAAAAGTTTTGCTTTGAACATACGAACAGCGAAGTCTGTACGGTGATCATTGCCCTTCTGGATAACGAATGTTCGTTTTAAGAATGCTGTCGAAGCTGCCACCGCCTACAGTAACCTTACCGACTCATTGAAGAATGCTCAAGAAAAGGCACAATGGGCAATCGATGAAATGACTGAGCTGAGTGAGGGTTTGCAAGAGAAAGGTAAGCTTCACAAGTCTTCTTCTTCTGGCTCCACTTCTTCCTACCAGAAAAGTTATTTCCTTTTGCTGCTGAAGATCATGTGAAGTGAATTTGGGTATGTCATCGCCATACTTTGTGGTGCTGCTTGAGTCTGTTGCGCGTGGCTGAGGTATGAAGGTACAGAAATAGCATAGTAAATTGCATAGTGAATTGAACAGGTTGCTTGCTTATCTAATGTCGACGCTGGGAAGAAAATAAACTGTCCTAGGGCTCGGGGCTTTTATTGTAAAGAGGACTGAAAGTCGAACGAAGACGGTGGCCCGGTAGTTGGCGTGGTCGGGAAATGGGGCGGGGCGTTCACACTTCAAAAGAAGGTGTGATGATGTTACAGTTGTGCTCCAAATTTTCATCAAATCGCTAACCTAGAATCGATTTTCAGAAAGAACAAGTGAAACAGGCACTGAACGGCTCGGCTACGCTAGTCCGTCAAGCATCCAATCTGCAGCAGAACACGCTGAACACTTTGAAGAAAGAAGCCGTCGAGACAGAGAACAGAATTGATAGGGTTGGTTATAGCTCAGCTAGGAAATCCGTAATTTCAAGCCAATCTCCGATCGGTGATCATAAGACCGTGATAGTGAGCGAATGAAGCATTTAAAAGAGCCCTTTTCAGTTGACCACAATGGTCGATGGAATGCGCCGTAATGTGGACGGTATCCGTGCGTCGTTGGTATCACCTCTCAACGAGACCACTTTTGCAGAAGTGGAGAAGTCAGCTGATCATGTGAATAGCCTCCTTGTCGACTCGGACAAGGTATATCACTCATATTCACTCTTCACTTCATTCATTGAATCAAATCAAGCACACTTTATGACTCGTTTAAGGTTCTGAGCACAGCGCGTGAGAGCCTTGCGGAACTGAAAGAGGCAACGGACAAGGCCGTCTCGGAAGCTACCGATGCTTTGCAAGGTATTAAGACAACGCGAAGCAACGATGAAAGGAGGTACCTTTTCAGTTTTCACCCTGAGAGCTAAGTGATTCTGGAGTATGAACCCTTCATTTCATTGATTTCGCTTCTAATGTTTTTATTTATCGACCCTTAGCCTGGGGATGCATATACCCGTATGTACAGTGCGAACGCAACCGATTACAGCGAAAATCGCGCTAAAGAATTGACCCGGAGTGAAGCCCGACATGTTAATCTCCTGACCGTCAGAGGGTCGACTTTAAATATTTGCCACAAGTGGCAGTGACGTCCTGATGGCGAAAGCGGCTCCGTGTGGCCAGTGGCACTGCTTACCAGCGCTCACGATCAAGGGCCTAAATCCTTACACGACCATCGGGCACCTCTAGGCTAACCATTATCCCTTCTGAGAGTCGCTGTATCTGTAGCACCTTCATCTTGTAGGGTAAAAACACTGGTAAATGCATGGGCCGACCCGCGCAAGTATTAGGCAATGACTGATTAAATGCCACACGGTTACGACTGGAAGTGGAATGCATGGCGCATCCAAAGAAGTGGCAATGTCACGGTTACTCATAATCTATATCTTATACTACGTCCTGAACACCAATTTAAAAGAGAGGTAGAAAGGACATTTAAGCAGTGAAAGATCATTACGCTCTGTCTGGAGAATCGTCAATTTCAGCTGTCTGTTCTGGTCCCGAAGTTGATGAAATCCTACGACAACATGCACAACAGCGCTACGAATCGTACGGCCAAAGTGGAGGCATGTGTGGATAAAATCGCTGCTCTCAAGGAACAAATTGCTGTCGCCAGAGATGCTGTCGCCAGAGATGCTGCGAACAGGGTGCGTTCCAAGGATTTCTTGAATTTTTAAAAACGTTCAAATTCTCTTTCCATCGCTGCTTCCAAATGGTCGATTTAGATTAAACTCGGTGCACATTTCGAACAAGGCAGCTCGTTGGATCTGGCAATGCCACATCGTGTAGCGCGATCCGCTGCCCATACAGACATCTCTTTCCATTTCCGCACCGCAAAAGAACACGGTGGGTTTCTGCTTAACGAATCTTCTCTTAATTTCTTGCCGACTAGGGATATGGTCTGTTTGACCACAATTGAGAACTTATAGTAAAGATAATGAAGCATCACTATTACACTGAATTCCTGTATTCTGAATTCTGGTCCCTGGATTAAGCTCCTGTTTGAATCCCACCCCTTTGAGTTAGAGATCCGAAAGAAATGCAAGCAGTGAAATTTTGATAAAATCAAAAACAATGGTGTTACGACCCGAAAAAAGCTTTTTAAGAGATGATTCATTCATAAATCAAACAAGTAATTTCATTGACAAATTGCAGGCATCCCACTGTTCTTCGGTAACGAAGAGGGATCTGCTGGTACCCGTGCCGTGCCCACTGATGACTACATCGCCGTGGAAATCGAGTACGGTCTACCGAAGGTCACGATCAACCTAGGCGAAAAACCGCTCGTTATTAGACTATACACGTAAGTTTCGAGTGCACAATTAGCTCTATTAAGCCAGAAGCAGAGATCATATCTTTCAAGTTGTGGGCGAAATAAGCACAATTCTTGGGGCTTAAAGGCACGAGTCAGGATTGAATTGATGCGTTATTTTGTTCAACATTAGGCAAGGGGTGCAATGAGGAACATTAGTGAGGAGAAAAAGCAAAAAGCACCATAGAAAACACTAAATTTCCCTTAGGAGGCCGGCCGTAGTACGACGGAGAGACACAGCGCTGCGAGGAGAGGGAGAACGCGAGATAGTACGTCGTACGCGAGAGGACGCAGAGACCACGCTGCGCGGGCAGCGCGGCGGGCAAGGCCTTAGCGCCATTGCCGCGCACTTTTGGGTCGCGATAGTGTCGCGCCCTCAGTGCTTGGGGAGCCCACTATCGCACCCTGGGAAGAACTTCTGCTGGTTGCCTATCCTGATCCTGACTCGTGGCTTTAAGTCAAGTAGGCTTCTTAATTCAAGTCCTAAAATTAGAGCTCTATTTGTTCACAGTTGTGGGAGGTTTGTCAAAGAGGTCCAAATACATATAACATGCGTGGGTATGAAACTATTAAATGCTGTTGTTGTGGTTTTGAAATGGCTTGCAAAAGCTGCACCGACATGTATCAATGGTGCAGGAAATCCTGCAAATTGAAATAGGTGAATTATATAAGGTCTTTGTACGAACATCGTACTTTAAGGCACATTTCACGACGGCAAGTTTTGGTCATTTTGTAAGAAAATGAATTTAATGGTGCAAGCAAACTGCACAGTTTATGATGGCAAAAACGAAAGTAAAGTATAATATGTAGTAAAGGCTAGAATTCAGTGCGTCCTTTCTCTGAGGTGGACAGTGCATTGACGAAGATACAGTGGGCACCGAAAGAAAGAACAGGGAACAGCAAAGAGCGTACAAGTCAGAGGATATGGGAGCACTACGCCGCCTAAATCTTTGTATGTCGTGCAGCAGAAGCTGCAACTTTCTCCGGTCACGGCAACGTCCTGGCGCCCTTGTCGCAATTTTGCACAACCAGAAGAGAACTGCTTATCGTTTCCCTTCGTCACTCGATCCTGTTTACGATATGGAGGGAATGACATGGCTTCATCCTCCTGTACGATGTCCTCAAACTACTAGCATATGAATTTAAAAGACGACACTATCGCAAGATACGGGTGCAGCAATGACAATGCATTTAAATCGTGTAAATCTTTTCTGTCAAAAACGGAAATAAGCCTCAGGTAGGGGAAGCGAGACTCCAGGGTGTGTGAACAATTTTCATTTTCCCGAGACTCCTGCTTCCTCTTACAGTTTAAATACATTCTTCTTGTTAGCCTTAATCCCAAATGATCCCCCATAACATGTGTTCGCGCCAAAGAAGCTAATATAACTAAAAAAGAATCTAATGTACACAGCTTACCGTTAATAAGCACTCAATTTAGTCACATTCTGAAACTGATAATCCGAAAATAGTGGTAATTTAATGACTTTAAGGCGAGTCGCGGACAATCAGTGGCGTCAGCTAAGTGTTGAACGTATCGGAAGATCGGCAACGGTTAAACTCTATAAGCCTAACAGCGACGAGGTAACTTTATGGCTCTATTTATCCTTTGAAAACCTTTTATGAGATGTATCTTTATGTGCAACAAGCTAAAAGGGTAGCCTTTCAGGTGGAAGAGGTGCAAAAGGGTACAGCTGAAGGCAACAAGAGCATTCTTATCTGATCAGGACAATAAGTCGTCTGTTTGTTGGAGGAATACCGGCCGGCAGTAGGGTGAGGCATTTTTCGATGGAACGTAATTTTTAAGTGTTTATAGATTCAAAAAGTCATTTCAGATTGCCGACGAGGTACGCAATCGCGACTTCGAAGGTGACATTGAAGATCTGACGCTGCATGGTGAACCAGTCGGGCTGTGGAACGCGAAGAGCGGTGGAGCAGTGGCAGTTCGTGGCGCCGTACCGCGCCCGCGCCCGCGCACAAAGGAGTCGTCTGCACAGCAAGGTTTGTATGAGTGCAAGATTAATGACCCATTTTGGCCAGTGTCAGATCAATTCGTTTCAGGAGTCTCTCTCGACGGTGAAGGCTATATCGTCTACCAAATGGGATACTGGATCCCCGAAAACGTGCAGTCTTCTTCTCTATCGCTTCCTTACTTCTCACAGACGGCTTACTGTTCTTCATAGGAAAAGACGTGAGATTAATCAATATCAACCCAATAATCAATGCTGACTTTCGGTCAACTGAAGTGGTACTCTTTTCAGCGTGACTTCCTTGCACTGGAGTTATCGGATGGAAATGTGAAATTATCGCTGGACTTCGGATCTGGTGCCGCACAGTGGCTCGCCGATACCGTGACCTACAACGACGGGCAATGGCACACTGTGATGGTGGCTAGAGATGAGCGACATGTGAAGATGGACGTCGACGGAGTCACGCGTTGAGGGTCCTGGCCGGATATTCTTAGCGGGGAGTGTCATTGAAGTGAGTGAGCCATTACAGGATATTGGACATTTGTTTTAGGCAATAGAGGGACTCTGGGGAGGAAGTGAGCCAATCTTTTTTTTCCGCTGACGTTGTATGTTCCGTAGGCTAGTCATGTTCACCGATCATGACAATTTATGCACCATTATTGAATGTCCCAAGACCGATGCGGTCCTTTTTTTAAAAATTTTTGTTGGTGTGGACTGACTTCTGGGAGCGGGGGCACTTACCTGCAACGGCGTGATTTTGGTGTCTGGAAAAGCGAATCGATTGGCCTGAGGATTGCACTTAACTGAGCAGTTCCTTCGATGGTAGAGAGTGGCGATGAAAATGGACGACAATAGTTTTCCAGATTCGAGCAATCAAACGACGCTTTTTCATTTGAGTTATATAAGATCGAGTATTACAGGTTTGCTGGAGCGATCCTCATAGGTGATATTGTCTACGCTGAAGCGATGACGGATTTACCGTCTACTTGGAGGGAACCGAACTGGAGATTAAATTACGTGAGTTAACTATATCCTTTTAGTCTCGTATTTCGCGATAAGTACCTAATATGGTTTAGTCGGAAGTTCATGATATATTTACTTGAAAAAGCTGATCGTTCAAGCCGTTCCCCATCGAGCGTCAGTAGACTGGCATCAATCCGTTCGTCTCGGAACGGACGAAATGGATTTGTATGCAAGTCATGCCAGCAAAGGAGTGAGGAATGCTTGCCCACTTGGCACTGTGAACACGGTGGAGCATTGGTTGATTGGAAAAGATTGTGAGTTTGGAACTAAAAGTTCGGCCTATAAATTACACATTTGGCCTATCTTCTCGCTGTTTTAAGAAGAAGAAGAAGTTGCTAAGATAACCTTTGGAGGAAGCATATTCTAACGGACTTAGATTTTTTGACGAGTCTTTGAGCGAGATCAAAGATTAATGCTTATCACTTTTTTCGATGATTACTGCTGCTGTCCAAATATTTCCACTTTCAGGTATCGATTTTATCTGATCGATCCACGGCAGTGTTTGAGAATATCACAGCTTCTGATGAGATGGACGTGTCGCTTCGCTTTCAAACCTCGATCGCTTCAAACTGGGCACTTGCTGACATTCAGTCTGACAGAGGAGTGATTTGTTATTGGCGTTGAAATTGAAGCGGCGCTTTGTGCGTGGCCTATGGCTGGGACGATAGGTTAGCCACATCATGTATAGTAAAACAAAGGGTATTCCTGATAAACCAAAGTTGATGGTAAACTGCTTCAATTCGATTTCCGTTTTTCGCGAGATCAAGAGTTTAGTGGAAAGTCCAGATCCTAGAAGATCAGTCGTAATTTCGGCTGCAGAAAATGAAAATGATTCGACCTTAATTCGTCTAATCCTTTTGGAATGAGGCGCTTTCCACTTCCTTCTGTATTTGAGCACGTATTCGCCCTATGCACACGAACAATGAGCACATGAAGCAGATAGAGGGATCAGGTCAGACATGTTGTTAGGGGAGATCTGAGGGGCAACCAATAAACCTACCAGTGTTTCTATGCTCTTCAATAACCAAACTTGCGCTTTTACCGCTAGCTTCGAACGGGATTCAGTAGTTCATTGAAGGAGTGTCACAATAGGTGAGAGGCTGTTGATTTTTAGATTGAACATGTGAAATTCGTTGTGACAAGATCCCTACGCGCGGCACCGGGGGGGAGGGGTGGCTGAAAATCCCTTAGTAAACTTTCCGCCAAGCGCTTCGAAGAAAGGTCATGACATCTCAGACATTTACGATCAATGTCTTTAATCATTGAGCTTGTGAAATTGTGAACCCAGCACCTGCGCTCCTGGAGCTTGAGGCAAATAGAATTTCATAGTAGCTTGGTCGAGATCCTATATTTCTAAGGAACATGAATGTACTGTGAGTTGTTCTTTTGTTCGAAAGCCTATTTGGCTTTAATTTGTATTTCTCAGCTTTTGACTTCCAGGTTTCTTTTGAGTGGCCGTCGCGCTGACGAGCATGTTGGCACTAGTATTCAGTACAGCAGACCAAAGGACTATGATGTGACGTAGACGATCTACATTCGAAGGAGGAACGACGAGCCAACGGCGATGACGTGGTATGTTTTTTGGTTCCTACCGCATGTGTAGCGCAATGACAAGAGTATTCTTCTCGCGTGTTCATGGCCACTGGTTCAATCATTTTCACTCGGAACTAACGCCTAGCCTCTCACCTCAATCGAGTTGGTTGGTTGTATGGCACCGAGTTTGTCCGAAAGCACCAACTTACAAAGTTCCGGTCACATTTTTTCACAGTAGTGATTGGGATCGGAGTGCATGGCGCATTCCCTGTTTATTTTCGTGTAGTATTTCATAGCTTTACCTTTTTTTCAATTGCATTGACGATTGTTTTGTCCAATTACAGCGGGAACGTCGTTCAGCGGTAAGTTTTACCGTGTGTCGCTATAAGTACTACTGCTTTAACATGTGTTTATACTGCATTAATACTGCTCTGTACTGAAGTGGTAACTAGTGAAGTGTCTCACATAACCTGTTTTGGTAGTGAATGACCAGATCCATCCATGATTGTCAGATCTGTATGCTAGTTGTGCTTGATGAGGTCGATAGGCTATGATTGTGCCGTTTTGGCTAGTTGCAGTGAGAGCGAGAATTTTGATTGCGGAAGCGACTGCAGCAGATTTTAGGCGAAAGTGTGGCCTGAGTTAAAGTCGATGTCGTTATAGATTTTATTGATTTCATGATTTTCCCTCATCTCAGGTGGCGGGCGAAATGGCGAAGATTCTTTTCGGACGCCACGATTCCGCTTCATTCGTCGGATGCGTTGGTGATGTGTCGTACAACGGAGAGCTGTTGGATTTCGCGAAGGTGACTACAGAGCCGAGTCTTCTTTTTTTTATTGGCCACATTTTGAAGTTTCTTAATGTCAAATCGACCTCGTTGTAGGCTAAAATCCACGAAGTCTCGCTGACGGGATTGTTCTTTGGCTGCCGATCTCGTGAAAACCACACTGGCAACAACGACTGAAACAGCGTCGACGACTCGTGAGGTGGGGCTTTTGTTACTTAAAATTGTTCCTATGAATACATGGAAGCATATGGTGCTGTTGCTTACTGGAAAACCCTTCGTATGATCCACGTTGTCTTGAAATAGTAAGACTTGTGCTCCTTGTCCTTCGTGGTACCCCTATTATCATCATCACGGGCAAGTAACACACCCAGCTGATCGTGAAATAAGCGGTAGGATCCTTATTCAGCAGAAGTTGTGTAGAGGGGTAGAACATAGAGCTATCAGTCCAGGATTCCTTGCCTGATGCTCCTCTTAAAGTTGGGTTCGAACAGCAATCCAAAATCGAGAGAATGTGAGCCTACGAAGAGGCGCGAGAAATACGGAAAACAAGGTACCTTCAATACAGGAGATTAATATCACCTTGACAAACCATCTGTAGAATAAAGAAGTTAAGAGAGAGTTGGTACGTCCTATCTTTTTGGGCCATATGCGATCAGGTTATGACTCAAGGTGCGCAACACAGGCCCCTTGTCAGTTGATCGAAAACTGCTGAAGACTGAAGGTATCGAAAAAACGAATTATTCAGTTTTTCAGTCCTTGTAGTATCAAAACAACTTGAGAAGCAGCGTTACGGTTCAGTCGTTTACTTGAATATAACAGTTTCTGTCAGTTCATCCTCGAGTACGAATGTCCTTTCAGGCCCCTGCGAATCTTGCAATCACCACTACTACCGCAATGACTACCACCATAGCACCCACGTCAATTTTTTCTGTTCTTCGCTCTAATTTAGACGACATGGGAGCTCAACGAACGATTGTTAGCCTTACCGTACACCTACGACTCTAGCTCACTTACCACACCTACGTCACCAGAGCACACTACGGCCTACAAACGGACCACCACGCAACTCCACCACCACCCACAACAACTACCCCTATACTACGACCTCTACTACAACTACCACCACCACCACTACTACTACAGTACCTTCTACTACGGTAAAAGAAAGAACTGTGGTGTTGCCGGTGTCAGAGCCCACGTTTGAACCACCAGATCTAGTGATAATACCACTTGAGGAAGAAGCCACAACGCCGGCGGGAGAAGTGGTCGAGTTCTGGGGAAGAAATGGCGCGAAAGCCGTTCTGGTGCGGCTTTAGTGAGTGTGGCTGCTCCTCACCTCGTGTCGATTCTGGTCATCAGTAACGCTTTGCCCCTTGCTGAATCCCTGAACAATCCAGCTAATACCTCTGCGCTTTGTAATACGCTTGCATCCTTGGCTTTACACTCACCTTTCTGCTGCTAATAACACCTTCCCTTCGAAGGCTTTGATGTTCCCGAGTGCTATATTTATTTTCAGCCTGTTGCTGACGGTGCTTGTGCTCTGGGATTGGATCCTCGGCCTCCAAAAGATGAAGTGGACGGAACCAAGGTTCGGACTGCAGCCCAACAGTCGCCTGGAGTACGAGGTTATGCCGGATATCATTCGATATAGAGTAAGCTAAGCTTTCGTTTGATTGCCTTGCAGAGCCAAACTTGTCTTTTTCAGGTCCGAGGACATTCTCCTTCAAATTCGCCCTGCTTTCAACGGAGTAATTTTGTTCGCAACCAACGACAAGCATACTGATCACATTGGACTGTTCCTGCTCAACGGTCGTCCTTGTACTCTCGTTCGACACAGGCTCTGGACAGGTAAGGATCTCGCTTAATACCTCTCTTATTGATCTGAGTCCATACGTTGGTTTCAGACTATTATCCACTCAAATCGATCGTTAGTTTCAGACTATCATCCACTCAAATCGATCAATTCTTAACGGTGAATGGCACTCGGTGAAGGCGTCAAGACGCGGCAGCGAAGGGCTACTGGTAGTCGATGAAGAATCGGCTGAAGCTGTGGTTTCGGCCGGCACACGACGCCATCGACACGGCAGCCACTCTTTACCTTTGGGCGCGTCATACTACGGCATGGCCAGCTACGCAAGGACGATCGTGCCGGTAAGTTCGTACAGGAAATGATCCATCAGTACCGTTCTAAGCAACACATTATTTGGGTATTTATGCAAGGTTGAACTGTCCAAGAAATCAAGGCTAATCCGTGTAATTCCAGATGCAAGCAGTGTGAGATCGGAATTTGGTGGTTGCATCAGAGAGTTCAAACTGAATGACAAGAAAGTTCGACACGATCGCTCGTGATCATGGCATCGGCGAATGCAGCGCAAGGACGGAAAGCGGGTTGTATTTCGGCAAGGAGGGCGGCTACGCGATTCTGAAGAAAGAGTTCCAGGTAAGCTATTTTCAATGGAGCAGAGCTGTAAAGACGAAGTAGAGGAATTAGACTCTGAATTCAGCTAAATTATTCTTACTCTGAATATAGGTATTCTAGGGGAATAGTTCGAAATTCATAAATGAAGTTTATAGCAAGAATTCGAGACGAACTAGGTATTTTAGCAGAAAGCGCGCGGTGCTTGCGGCTTAGAAACCAACAACCTCAAATGATGCTCTGTTGAGCTACTCGCTAGTTTATCCACACTGCTTATTTTACTCATATCAAACAGTGCGGTAGTTCCTATGGTGAACGTATAGGCGGTGCTGCCCACCATTTGATACAAAGTTTAATATTATTATTTTTAGGCCTTTCTTTTATGCAGAGTTATTAAGGCATGCCCCAGGATCACATTGGTGTGGCTCTTGTACACGAATGTGAATGTATCGGTGCCAAGTGGGCCGGCAGTGAAGAAAAAAGGAAAAGAATCCGTCGAAAACGCTCAGGTTGAGGGCTCACTCACCTTCCTAATCGGCTGTGCTAAGGGAGAGAGACTAAGCGCGGAGAGGAGAGTATGGGGCGAGAGAGCGCTACAGATGAGAGATCGCCAGACAACAGTCTGATAAGGAAAAAAGTCTGCAGCTTGGGCAGCTTACTTTGCAAGGCCCAAGCGCTTATCGGTTGGGTTTCCGTGCACGAGAACGCCACATTGTGATTGTCCTCTAGGGTTCTATACTAGTGACCGAAGAGAAGCGTTCACACGAACTCTGCCTGGGTTGTGCCTTTAATGCCGGCAAATAGGTTTAGGAGAGTCAGGAGATTTTCTCTTCAATAAAATTTGAGTGGATGGAGATTCCCCTGCCCAAGGGCTGGCATAGATGAATGAGGGTATGAAGATTCTTTTCAGGAAAAAAAACTTTCCAAATTCCATTTGAAACACGGCAGCCACCGGTGGATACCATTGTCCCGAGTGAGATCTTTGTCAGCCACCGGTGGCTGCCATTGTCACGAATGGGTTAAGACATTGCCGCATCGCCATCGCACGCTGTTCTGTCAGCTATTGTGTCCATTTGTGTTTAGACTCTTTGAAAGGAGGGGTATTCCAGATGACAGGTTTGAAATTACATAAGTCCCACTTGCTGCAATCAGTGCTTTTCCTTCGGTTAATTTTCGGCAGTCTGTCTAATCCTTCATCACTTCAGGTTGGCCAGTCATTCTCTGCTGAAATGGAAGTGCGTCCGCGTACAAAGAATGGCGTGTTGTTTTCCGTTGGTGTCGTTGAATACCTGACTGTTCAAATCCTCGATGGCACCGTTAAGGTAATTTTGCAGTTCGATCGCTTGCAGTTAAAAATCAATCCGCACTTTTTATGAGCAGACAATTCCTTTAGTTTATCGTCGACAGTGGTTCGGGAGCCGAGTCGCTGATCTATACTCCGCCAACGTCAAACACCATTTGTGATGGTCACTGGCATTCGATCAAGGTTAGTGCACATTAAAACCATGGAAAGACTTTGTACAAGATAGCGGACAGAGGCGTGGCCTTAATTTTTGCAACCACACAAGCTAAAATTACTACCACATGCATTGGTCATCAGTACATAGATCCACTCGTCATTCAACCCCTTGATCACAATGGTACAAATCAGGGTGAATAACGGTCGAGGAATTCCTCGACCATCGCTCTCTGCTGTGCGAGAGTAGTGCCGAGAGTGAATGTACGCGCGGAGAGCACAGACGGCTCGCGGGTGGCGAGAGTGAATGTCCGCGCGCGAGAACGTAAAGGATCAGGCGAAAATCCTCGACGTGCCGTTGAGGAATCCTCAAGCAATATTCACCCTAGTACAAGTACGATGTTATACATCGTTGTAGTACATATGTGTGCCACCAGGAGTAGAAAGATCGAAAGGTTTGGTGAGGCAGGTTGCCGCATCAGCGCATGCGCTTCTGGTAGGCCAATGTCATACTTTGTGAATCGAGTCATTCGTTGTACACGACGCGACCGCGAACGCTTGTGAATATCTTGGAGCGGACCGGTCGGACATCGGCCGTATCGAGGTCACGCTTGTGCTAGCTTCTACAGTTTCGTGTACTACTACTGTACCACAGATGAGCTCGTTTTTTTTTGAACTTATGTGGGGGACGAGACTTTCTTATTTTGCTGTGACT